AGAATAGAATAGAATAGAATAGAATAGAATAGAATAGAATAGAATAGAAGGGACCTTGAAGGTTTTCTAGCCCAGCCCTCTGCTCAAGCAGGAGAACCTATAGTTAATTACCTTTATTGTCAGAGTACAACATATGTACAATGAGATTGGCTGAGCCTCCCTTCGTGTACCCCCCCCACACACACACAACTCACAGTGAGGACAGAAGTCCAGACCCAGACCCACCCTATGTGACCTTGTTGCACAACGTGCCAACCCCGCAAGCCTGTCATACTATGTTGACATGAAGTTATTTTCCATTCAGAAGTCTGACAGCCCATGGATAGAAACTGTTCTTCAGACTGTTGGTGTGGCTGGCTATGCTTCTATATCTTTTTTATATTGTGGTGACCAAAACTGGATGCAGTATTCTAGGTGTGATATTAGCACCTCACTTGATTTTGATCTGGTAATGCAACTTAGGATTGTGTTGGCTTTTTTTGGCTGCCACTGCACACTGCTGGCTCATATTTAACTGGTTGTCCTCTAAGACTCCAAGATCCTTCTCACAGTTATTGCTAATAAGCCTAGTTTCACCCAGTGTATATGTGTACTTTTGATTTTTCTTGCCTAAGTGTAAGACTTTACTTTTCTCCACATTGAATTTCATTTTGTTAGATAGGACCCAGTGTTCAAGTCTGTCAAGATCCAGATGAAGAGCCTATCTTCTAGGGTGTTAGCTGTTCGTGCCACTTAGTATCATCTGCAAATTTGGTAAGTTCCCCTTCTATTCCCTCATCTAAGTCATTTATGAAAATATTGAAGAGTACCGGGCCTAAGATGGAACCTTGTGGCACCCCTGAAGTGGTCAGCATGTTATCTGACCACTTCAGTCTAGTTTACAAGAGTCAGTTAAATTGACAATCTGAAGTGAAGCTGTGCATCTTCTAGTTATAACTTTATTTGCTTCTAGTTGCTTGCAGATGTTTTTTAAATTATTATTATCTTTTCCAGAACCTTCCCAGTTATTGATGTTAGATTGATCAATCTGTAGTTTCCTGGATCTATTTTTTTTCTTTGTTGAAGATGGGAACCACATCTACATTCCAATTCTTAGGTACTTTCCCAGTGCTCCGGGATTTTAAAAAAATATGGTACAATAATTCTGAGATAACATCTACCAGCTCCTTCAGAACTCTGGGATATAATCTGTCAGGTCCTGGTGATTTATATTTGTCAAGGTCAGATATCTGAGAACCTAACCAAAATAATAAAACCCACAGATTACTACTCAGATTACTACATGTAGGGATGAATGGCACAAAAAAGGACTTGAAAACAGTATTGGGTGATTATGAGCAGCTAGGAAAGAATGTCAAGGACTTAGATGCACAAATAATTTTTTCATCTATACTGTCAACAAAAGGACAACATCTGGTAAGAGAACACAGAATTCTAGAAGTGAATCATTGGCTAAAGGGTTGGTGTCGCCAAAAAAACTTTGGATTCTTGGACCATGATCTGTATTATCTCCATGATGGACTTCTGGCAAGGGATGGGTTGCACCTCATAAAGACTGGGAAGAATGTTTTCAGAAAATGACTGGCTCAACTTATCAGGAGGACTTTAAACTAAAATTGAGGGGGTGGGGTGACCAATCTTTGGGATCTCCAGGACCTAATTCCAAGCAAAAACCCCTAGAAAGTAAGTCAAATAATGAAGTAAGGAGGGATGAGAAGGAAGATAAACACAAACACCAAAAAGGAGACATAGGAAGCATACCCAGAGTCAGACATAAAGATCTCAAATATACAAATACACAAAGTTGGGGGCGGGGAACAGGCAGAGGTGGTATTCAGCCGGTTCACACCGGTTCTGGCAACCTGGGAGCAAGAATTTGGTGTGGGTCGCAGAACCGGGAGCGACTTCTGGCTGGCCATGCCCCCGAACCAGTTCCCCAGTCACCCAATTGCTCCACCCACCCGATGCTCGCTCACTCACACAGCTCACCTGCCTGCTGGTTGCCCTGCCCAGTTACTCCTCCCTTCCTATGTGGCACACTGGGCCCTTGTGGCTTGCCTAACCTGACTTCCCCATGTGGTGCCTGCGCCCCAACTGAGCAGCCCTGATCTGCCTGCTCTGCTCACAGGCAAGCCTACATCACGCTAGGCCCTCGCCCACCCCCTAGGGCCTTTCTGTGCCTCCGCCCAAAGGTCTCCGCCTGGGACCTTTCTGGGCAGGAGGAGGCCAAGGTGGGGCGCCGTTTTTGGGCCAGTCCAGAGGTTGGGGGAGGGGCAGTGGTGGCAGCAGCGTGGCTGTGGGAAATAGCCCTAGGAGATCCCAACCTCCCTTTCAGGGTGCCTCCATGCCCCTCTCAGTCCCAGCAGAGGGGACAAAACAAATAGAAAGCCAAATACTTTCTCCTTCCCTTTTGAGGCTCTTCCATGCCCCTCTCTGCCGCAGCAGAAGGGAGAAAATGAACGGCTTTCTGTTGGCTTTCTCCTTCCCTTTCAGGGTTCTTCCATGCCCCTCTCCACCCCAACAGAGGGGAGAAAACAAACAGAAATCCAAGGGCTTTCTCCTTCCCTTTTGGGGCTCTTCCACACCTCTTTCCCGTTCGCCCGCTGCAGCCGCTGCCCCCATGCTGCTGCCCCCCATGCTGCTGCCACACTGCTGTTGTACCTCAAAAGGGAGGCCGTGATCTGGGGCTGCTTCCCATAGATGCACCACACCCACCTGCCAGCCGCTCCCACTGCCCCCGCCACCGCCACCCCCACTACCCATGTGCTTTGAAAGGGATGTTCCGGGGCTGCTGCTTTCTTCATTGTCCCTCCACTCGCTGTTCTGGATTTCTCCCAATAAGTTCTTCCCAGAAAAGGTGTGTGTGTGTGAGATAGAGACAAGGAAAGAAAGGGAGGAAGGGCAAGAAGGAAAGAGCAAGAAAGGAAGAAAGAGGAAGGGAGAAAGAGGAAGGGGGAGAAAAAAAGACAGAGAGAAAGAGAGAAAAAAAGAAAGAGCAAAGAGGAAGGGAGAGAAAGAAAGAAAGAGAGAGAGAGAGAGAGAGAGAGAGAAAGAAAGAAAGAAAGAAAGAAAGAAAGAAAGAAAGAAAGAAAGAAAGAAAGGAAGGGAGAGAGAGAGAGAAAGAAAAAGAAAGAAAGAAAGAAAGAAAGAAAGAAAGA